TCTCTATTACTATACTGGATACAAAATTATTAGATATTAAAATGAGATTACGATGGGGATGTTGCCTAATAAGTAGGAGAAAAGAAAGAGGGTAAGGGCAGGGGGTATGAAAAAAGGTTGTAGGAGAGATTTTTAGTCATGCTTGCTTTAAATGAGCTATATGTACAGAAACCTTTAAAAAATTTCATAGGGCTTACTCATAAGGGATATGTAGCCCATTTTATAGCGCGGGAGGAGCGAGAAAGTCGGAGGACTTCTTTTACAATAATTTCCTAGCCCCTTCGTTTGTTTGTTCCAGAGTCCTTGATTCGCAAATTTTTTTATCTTCAAACATCGGAGAACTTCAAAAGTCTATCTGTAGTTGAAGCATTACTAACAACAAGTAAATCATATAAAAACCGAGAGTTTCCCCTAGAAACCCTGTAGGAACATCTTTTTTCTCTATCCCCTCTATTAAGTCCAAAAATTAATCAAACTAAGCATCTTTGCAAATTTACTCCATCAAATTAGTAGTTCCTTTGATCTCGTCTGCGATGGGCTAAATTCCAAGGAATCACTTTTCTACATGGACGATCGCTCATGATTTAATGTCTCCAACTCTCTGCAGCAAGCTACGATAAAAAGTAGAAATTTTAAACTTTCTGGATACTCACCTGACTCTCTGGTCATCTCTTCAAAAAAAGTTATTTACTTGGAAAATATAACATTGCAATTGTTTAACTGGTTTTCTTTGGCTACATACTAAGTTGAGTTGAAAATGGTCTCCTTACTACGAAAGTTCCAGGTGATAAAGGCGGATCTTAAAAGTGGAAAAAGTAAAATTTGGTATATGGACTCAGAAGATCAAATATGCGCTGAACCGATCTTGGTGAACAAGCCAGGCTATCAAGTTGAAGATGAAGGTAAGCTGTCCGAATCTGTCTTGAAACCCTTTGCACAGTACAGCAGTGCAAACTATTTAGGAGTGTTGATCGTTCCGGTAATCACAACTCGTGAAGATGACACCCCTTATGTGGTCATAATAGATTCTGAGACTATGCAAGAGCAGGGTCGCTTCATCATTCCACAATCAAGAATCCCATTCGGATTTCATGCTCATTTCACACCTCGACAGACTAATGTGTAGCAAATAATTGTATAAAGTTCTTTAAGTGAACTAGAAATTGTTGTATAAAAGTAGATTTCTCAATCATAGTACATACTATAGTAATAGATAACGTTTTTCGCCTTTTCAAAACTTCTTCATGTGTGTTACATAGATATCAAAATCTTAATGGTTGAATGTATGTGAAAATGTTTTTTTGACAACTTCAAAAAACCAAATTACTATTCTACGTAGCGATAATAGATTTGAGATCAAGCGGTTAAGGTTAAGATTAAGGTTATACATAGCTTTCCTTCATTTTTTTCTAACTTATTTTCTTTACTTTTCAAACCAACAATGTAATAAAAGACTTTTTCTGCTCTATTTATCATTTTTTTAGCATAAAATTCCAGCGAGCTTACAAATATACATCTACGTATATCAATTCAAAACACTTTCTCAACCTCTACATATTTCCAAATTTTGTGAATGTTGAAAATTTTTGTTGAGAAGTTGATCGCAATTTTGATGTTGCTATAAACCTGTTCCTACTTCTTTCAAAAATTCTTCGATATCATGACATAAATGGTCGGGCTTTTCTCCAAGAAGCAGTTAAGTCATTTCTTGAAGACCCTTAATTATGGTTGCCGTGCTTATCGTTGGAAAGTTTGGAAAAGAAGATAATCCTTTCTGGAGCGAGGTTTAGGGAGCACAAAGGAAGCTAAGTCGCTCGTTGTTGCCTTCCCGATTCCTTGCCGATATGTGGTGCCTCTAGACGGAATTTAAACTTGGCGTACCCTCTTCAGCGGTGTCACGAGAAACACTTTTTTTCGCAGGCAGTACAATTAGATTGGCTCTGTTCCAGATTCTACCGCGGTTTGTTCAAACGCTAACAGGTGACGGAGTGCTGCTTTTTGTCGACTCGATGTTGTATTATCAGCTTGAATCTGAGAGCAAAATAAAAACATCCCAGCTTCAATTTGTAGAGGAACAAAAATCTTAAACTATGAACAATTTTCGATCAAATATTTGAAAATATGCAGGAGATCAAACCTAAAAACACCAAGTAATTTAACTATAATAGTGTGATATTTTAGTATCCAAATTATGAAAGAGCAAGGAGGCATGTTTTCCAGTTCACATACACTTTAAACATGTAAGACGAGACAAGGCTGCAGAAGTAGGTTTTTTTGAGTGTGGAAAATTCAGAAAATATTTTCCATCATTCCATGGCTTGTGTAAACTTCTTTAAACATGAATTATTTCGGTGACTTGTCTCAAGCGTATCATTTTGAGAACATAAAATCTCGTCTGCACCTTCAAGCAAAGTTCATTCGTAGCGTGCAAGGCCTATATCGTCGTATCATAACTTGCTTACATCGTGTTCCTGGGACGGCGAACCAAGGTTGGCAGCATCATATCGTAGTGCAACGCTATCCTCAGCAGATTCCTTTTAGGAAATCAGGAATGTTTTACGACAGCCATATTTTCATTTTGACTGCGCTGATGACGGCGCAAGCAGTCAAAGTTTCTGTAAGTTTCGTTTTTTCTAGCATCATGGTCTGAAGTGGATTACGACGTACCGAAATAAGTGCAGGAACGCAATTACCAATTGCATTGTAAATTTTAGGTCAAGTATGTATGAAAAGCGATGCTTCAAGTAACACGGCATAGAAAAAAGATATGAAAATCATGCTTAATCAGCCTCAAAGGTTTAAAAATTGTTGCAGCATATTACATGCATCAGTATCGCTCGCTCAATTTTTTACCATCTCTTTGCATCTTTTCATCCTTATAATAGAAAAGCCTACTTACTGAGGCCTCCCTGAATATGAAGTTTTGAGTACCTCTTTATAGTTTGTTTGCTAATATGCGCCTTTAGATGAAAAGGTGGCGGAAATAAGTCATATAAGTGTCCTACATGAATTCTTATGTTACTTTCTGGCTTTGCTATATCGGCATCATTGAAATGAATTAGAAAAGCTTTACGGATGAAGAGGAGCTAGAAACCAATATAAATCGGAATCTGTCACTTCCAAAAATCCTACAGTTACACCATTGTGGCCGGACCACTGGCTGTGCCCCGCTGGTGCTTTGTCAAGTTGTTATCAATTAATTTCATTTCTTTTTGATTTTATTTTTAAGGCGTGAAGAAAATCTGAAATGTCGTGATTGTTTGTATGAATTATTCTTGTATACGCATTTCCTAGTCTTTTTTAGTTAGCACTAAAGAAGGGGAAGCACGCGTGAGGCGAGAAACAGAGTCACATGTCTTTGACACTTCAGCTTCCCAATGTTCCTTTTTGGGCCATAAGCAAGGATTCTCCCCCGATTATGCTTAGGCAAAAAGCGCCGTAGTAGGATAAAATGTGAGGAAGGGGAAGCACGTAGAAGACCGAACATGTTCGCAAGTCTTTGACACTTCAACTTCCTTTTCAGCGTTCCTTTTCGAGTTATAAGCGAAGAACTTCTCTGATTATGCTTAGGCAAAAAGCGCCGAAGGAATTGATAAAAATGCGGTCTATACCAGCGCTTTCCGAATTCTGTCGCCTTTTGCCCCACCTCAAGCCATAATAATCATAGTAGGATCATGGTGAATACACGAGACGCAGGCACAGCGAATTAGAACCATTACAACCGCCTGAGAATTAAAATCA